CAACACATAAGGTAATCATACAGAAAGCAGGAATAGATTTTTAATTTGCAGATTAGTTTTAATCTCTCAAACATATTAACAAACGTATTTTTCCTGTGTCTTGAGAAAAATCCTCCCGTATGTATTAATTTAACACATGTGTACATGTTGAGAAAAAAAGGCTATCTAAGATAAGTTCCATTGTGTCCTGTTCAGTCCTTCATGTTATTAGATCACTTAGACATTGTCAAAGCGATAGATTTAGAATGACCCTTTCTTGCTTCCAAAATCTCATTTTAAGAAATGAAGACTTTTTTTAGAGAACTGTAGCTCTTTACAACACAGCCTCTCCTTAGTGGGTGGAGTCGTGTTATCAGGGAGGCTCTGTGTACCTGGGCAGTGACCCCAGATGATTCTGCCCATTACACTTTTAGCTCACGGTAATCTGTCTCCCTCTCTCTAACCTGGCTTCCACCCCTGGTTTGTTTGCTTTTTAGTTTATCTCTAGCTCACCAGTTTTGAACATTTGATAGTTTGTCTGAAAAGAGAAGGCACCATGGTCGATAAACTGAGCCAAAGGAATAGGGGAAGAACATTTATAATTGAGATCTTATTTTGGGTTCATAATAAACTTTTAAGAATCATAAATTGGGTTGGGGTTCAGTTTTGTTTCCTTGCATGTCAGCATTAGTTAGCATCTTTCTAGTTCAGTAGTCCTGATAACTTTTAACCATAAGGGGGTTGTGCATAATTCGGCACAACTGTTGTGCCGAAATATGCACCCCCGCCGTGAAATACACCCCCCCAAAAAAGATGCTTCTATTAATCCCACCCTCAAGCATTTTTTAGGGTATAGTTGTAGGATATACCAATAAATGGAGCAAGTTTCATGTATGTGACCCTTTTATTATGTAAGATAGCAAGGGGTGCATAATGCGGCCGTAACGCGGCCGTAATGCGGCCGTAACGCGGCGCAGTCGCGCAGACGGACCCGGTGGAATACAGGGGTCACAATGCAATCAATAACCATTTCACAAGCCAAACTTTTTATTATGTTTTTATTGTATTGTATGTTTATTGTACTCTAACCCCTAGATTCCAACTTTTACCCCCATTTTTAGTGCCTGCTGAGAGATGGTACTTTCCTGGGGGAAAAAAGGGCCCCAGTTCTGATTGGCTGGGCGAATTGCAAACCACGCCCCGTACAACTCTGAAATGTTTTGTAGAGCTGCCATTTTATTATCCTGGCATTAGCATTATTAGCATTAGCATTCGCCCAGTGCACAAACGCAGAGAGACTAACTTATGGCAACACAAAATAAAACATGGGAGCGGTGGAGATGAGGGGGTGTCGGCATTCTGGCGATTTACTCGGAGGACTTCCGGCCGGGGACTCCGGGTGGCAGTATACGCCGTGAAGTTGTTTGCGGCCTGCCAGTAAACCCAAAGCAGAAGAAGACGAAGTGACGTCAGCGGCTCATTTGCGTAATCTTCCCTCAGGGAAAAGTACTCCAGTGTGAACGCGATCTGTACTAAATGCCCTGGGGTAATAAGTGCCGGGGCACTGAGTGCCGGCACTAAATACGGCAAAGTACTTGGTGTGAACGCGCCTAACCCCTAGATTCCACCGGGTCCGTCTGCGGCGCATTACGGGCGCGTTACGGCTGCGCCGCAGTGCTCACGGCGATCGCGGCCACTCTAGTCAATGGGTGTTATTCCACCACACGCGGCGCGTTACGTCCCAGAAGCGTCTCGGCACAGGGCTCCTCTAAAATTAGGACGAATCCTATTTTTGTCGCGGCGCAGCCGTAACGTAAGGTCGGGCAGGCAGGAAGTGGAACGTTCAGAGCATATATATATAGATATATACACACACACAAACTAATTTTGCAGACCCTATCCCTCCGTAGTCTTTCAAGTAGGAGGAGAAATGCCAGCGTTCTCCTCCGGTTTACAGGCACTGTGTAAATTATATATATAGAATAATTATGATGATGAATGCATTTTTTTACCACTAAAATACAGCAACACATCTTTGATTCATGTCGTTTATAACTGGAATATTACAGTTATTATTAACTTTGTCTGTACAAAGTAGCCTGTCCAGGAAATATGCCCAAATCAACAAAAACTGCGAGCCGGCAGGCAAGACGCTCCGCTTCTGAAATGCTTCTGAAACGCGCCTGGTAGGGTATGACGCCGGAGGAGGCCGGACCAAAACCGCAACGCGGCGCAGACGGACCCGGTGGAATCTAGGGGTAATTCCACCAGACGCGCCGCGTTACGGCTAGAAGTGTCCCAGAAGCGTTGCAGAAGCGTCCCAGAAGCGTCCCAGAAGCGTCTCGGCGCTGGGCTCCGCTAAATATAGGATGCAAGTCTATTTTTGACGCGACGCGAGGCGTTGCATAGCGCCGGGCAGGAAGTGGACCGGTCAGAGCATCCAGTCAATCCCCAAAATAAACACATTTTGCAGACCCTATCCCTCCGTAGTCTTTCAAGTAGGAGGAGAAATGCCAGCGTTCTCCTCCGGCTTACAGGCCCTGTGTAAATTATATATATAGAATAATTATGATGATGAATGCATGCATGCATGCATTTTTTTACCACTAAAATACAGCAACACATCTTTGATTCATGTCGTTTATAACTGGAATATTACTATTATTATTAACTTTGTCTGCACAAAGTAGCCTCTCCAGGAAATATGCCCAAATCAACAAAAACTGCGAGTCGGTGTTGTGTCAAATGATGCACCCCCATCATGAAATGCCCCCCTTGTCACGGGAACGCGCATTTCTAAATGACACATTTACACCTTAAAACGATGTTTAAAACGAAAAGCAAACGTTCAGGGTTTTTATTAATGGTAATTTTCAGACTGTGAGTTGTTTAGTGGTAGCTCATATAGTCTTTATTCTTGTGGTTAAACTTTTCGCTCCGTATTTGATGGTAGTGGTGTCGAAATTCATTCGTCACTTCCTTTTCAGTTTTTTTTTTTTTTAATCTTTTTGTTTTGTTATTATTGTTACGTCCTGTCTGTATACACGTGCTTTAAAATGTATTGTTTAATTTTACATATTTGTCATATAATAATCAAAATATATGTTTACAAATGTTACATAGTCTTTGTCAGCATATTTTTGCCACGTTATGCACCCCTTGCTATCTTACATAATAAAAGTGTCACATTCATGAAACTTGCTCCATGTATTGGTACTAGTCCTACAACTATACCCTGAAAAATGCTTGAGGGTGGGAATAATAGAAACATATTTTTGGGTGGGGTGCATTTTATGACAGGCCTGGTTATCACAATATGCCCCCCCTTGCTATCTTACAAAATAAAAGTGTCACATTCATGAAACTTGCTCCATTCATTGGTACTAGTCCTACAACTATACCCTGAAAAAAGCTTGAGGGTGGGAATAATACAAACATCTTTTGGGGTGGGGTGCATTTTATGACAGGCCTGGTTATCACAATATGCCCCTCTTAATATCTTACAAAATAAAAGGGTCACATACATGAAACTTGCTCCATTCATTGGTACTAGTCCTACAACTATACCCTGAAAAATGCTTGAGGGTGGGATTAATATAAGCATCTTTTGGGGGGGGGGGTGCATTTTATGACAGGCCTGGTTTATCATCCGAGTCAGAAATAAAACAAATATGGAGTGAGGGCTAGTCCTGCAATTGTCCAACACATTTACATACACACAGTAATTAATAATACATGTTGAATGAAATAAAGAAATAAAGTGACATATTATCCATACTAAAATTGTGTACATTATCACACATAAAATAAACATTCATTTTGAAGATTAGAGTCCAGTGACATGGTAAGCAATCAAAGTCAGTGTGAACAACATGTCATATTCATCTTTAACCCTTGTGTTGTGTTCGAAAGCTGTTACCGTTCATGGTGTTCTCGGGTCAATTTTGACCCATGATTTATCTCCATCTCCAAAACACTCCAAAATAATGACTATCATCCAATATTGTTTTAACTCCATCATAACCTTTAAATTACAACAGGATTGTTTGGTCATGCATTTTTTTACCACTAAAATACAGCAACACATCTTTGATTCATGTCGTTTATAACTGGAATATTACAGTTATTATTAACTTTGTCTGTACAAAGTAGCCTGTCCAGGAAATATGCCCAAATCAACAAAAACTGCGAGCCGGCAGGCAAGACGCTCCGCTTCTGAAATGCTTCTGAAACGCGCCTGGTAGGGTATGACACCGGAGGAGGCCGGACCAAAACCGCGGCGCAGCAGTAACGCGGCGCAGTCGGACCCGGTGGAATCTAGGGGTGACGCGGCCGTAATGCGACGCAGATTCCGGTGGAATCTAGGGGTTTTATATTCTTTTTTGTTCTATTATTGTTTATCCTGGTTCTTTATACAACCCCAAAAACCATCATCATTCAGGGAAATAAAAAAAATCTGTTTTTGTTCTGAAAGTGTTGCAGCATAGTTCATCCTAAAGCTGCTTCCAGACTGTGTGTGCACTCCTGTCTGCGCCTGCGGTTACCAAACAATGGGTGGCTCGTGAGCCCATCGATTCATTCAACCAACCCCAGTCTCCACTGCTGTAATGTGATTGATTAAAATCATACTTACATAATTGGTTCATGTCAATTATTACTTGTGTAAGTGATATTGATGTATTAAAGCGCTGGTCTGCACGTTTACTAGCCAACGTTTATGCCTCAGCGTTTTTTTACAACTTTTATAAGGGTGTTGATGAAGTGCAGTGTGACTTCGTGACTATTATGGTGTGTTACCCCCTCTATAGGTTGCAAAAACTCATCTTATATAGGCTAACCACCAAAAAGGATTGGGGGTATTGATCAAGAGCAGAACAAAGTTCACCCACAGTTGACTCTGACTTTTCTGGCCAATCTTAGCCTTTAGAGGCGGGGGATAGAAATGTGCTTCAGTTCCTCTGAGGAGAAGCCGAAGTCAGCAGAGGTACTCATTCAGTGGAAGATACTTTTTTTTTGAGAAGATGGTCTCAATTAAATCGCCGTATCTGGTGCCGGTGTCCTGCGCGCAGGCTCTCCTCGGTGTGGGCTGTCTGGCTGTCGTCCTCCTCGCCTTACTACTGGTTCGCCAGCTCATGAAGCAGAGAAGACCCCCGGGCTTTCCTCCTGGTCCATCTCCCATCCCTGTGATAGGGAACATTATGTCTTTGGCCACCGAGCCGCACGTCTTCCTCAAGAAACAGAGTGAAATTCATGGACAGGTAATGACTCAGCTTACAGCGCATTTTAGGACTGCAGTGCTTTTTTACTTAGTGCTCTGCAAACTGTGCACTGCATGACCTTATACAAGACGTTAAAGTCTTTCATGACACACACATGCACCCACACACACACACACACACACACACACATTGGGAACTAGCTATGAGACGAACAAATTAGACTCGCCCTAACATTTTGCAGTCTGCAGCATTTGGAGGAGAAAACGCTAAAAAAAAACTCTACCCAAAATAAATAAATAATGACACAGTCTTTCTTTTGATTGCAAATTGTGCTTTTTCATTGTAAACTTGCTTTATGTGCAGAGCTGGATATGTGGGTTGAGAGCTAACCTTACAAAGGGGTCAGAGCAGTTTCATTCACTCATTCTCCTGTTAGATGGCCCATGGAAACCAGTTTGGATAATAGTGCCAAAGAGTAGGCAAGGAACATTTTGCGAAATGCATTCAATTATAACATCTCACATTCCTTAAATAGGCATTCAGATGCATTAAAAAGTGTAAAGTACAAAATACATAAATTGTTAATTTTGCAATGTGTACCTTCCAGATTTTCAGTCTTGACCTTGGAGGCATCTTGACAGTGGTGCTCACTGGTTATGACTGTATCAGGGAATGCCTTTACAATCAGGGAGATGTGTTTGCTGATCGCCCATCGCTGCCTTTGTTTCAGAAAATGACCAAAATGGGCGGTAAGATGATATTATAAGATTGTAATGCATACCAATTCCCATGCAACACTCTCTGAATAATTACAGTTGGCATGATGCAATTAGTAAACTTTTAATTGTGTCTCCACCTTTCAAAGGGCTTCTCAATTGCAAATATGGCAAAGGCTGGATTGAACACCGTAAACTGGCTTGCAACTCTTTCCGTTACTTTGGCAGCGGCCAGAGGCAGTTTGAGAGGAAGATCTCAGAGGAGTGCATGTTCTTTGTCGATGCCATTGACGAACACAAGGGAAAGCCCTTCAACCCCAAACACCTGGTGACCAACGCTGTGTCCAACATCACCAACCTGATCATTTTTGGACAGCGTTTTACTTACGATGACCGCAACTTTCAGCACATGATCGAGATATTCAGCGAGAACGTGGAGCTAGCAGTGAGCGGCTGGGCACTCCTCTACAACGCCTTCCCTTGGATTGAGTATGTGCCCTTTGGAAAACACCAGAAGCTGTTCCGCAATGCTGCTGAGGTGTATGATTTCTTACTTGAAGTTATAAATGGTTTTTCACAAGGTAGAGTGCCACATGCACCTCGCCACTATGTGGATGCCTATTTAGATGAGTTGGAGCAGAACAAGGGAGAACCAGGCTCCTCTTTCTCCCAAGAAAACCTCATCTATTCAGTGGGGGAGCTTATTATTGCTGGCACTGAGACCACAACGAACACACTGCGCTGGGCCATGCTGTACATGACTCTCTACCCTAACATACAAGGTCAGTAATAGCAGAAACATCTTCCACATATGTGAACATTTTATTTCTATTCTAACCCCTAGAGAGAGATTTCATGCACATCTGTTTGTGGGCTGATCTAAATAATGGTTATGTAATGTGTGAATACATGTCTAAGAGTGTCTGTTTTTTCCATGAATAGAGAGGGTGCACAGGGAGATCGACAGTGTGCTTGAGAATGGAAGGGTACCCACTCTGGAGGACAAACAGAAGATGCCCTATGTGGAGGCTGTTCTGCACGAGATCCTTCGCTTCTGCAACATTGTCCCACTTGGTATTTTCCGTGCCACCACCCAGGAGGCAAAAGTAAACGGGTACACAATTCCCAAAGGCACCATGGTGATCACAAACCTCTACTCAGTGCACATGGATGAGAAGTACTGGACTGATCCAGGTGTTTTCTCACCCCAGAGGTTTCTGGACAGCAATGGCAACTTTGTGAAGCGTGAGGCCTTCCTGCCTTTCTCTATGGGTCAGTCTTTATATGTTTCTCATAAAACAAATGATTGTGGCTCTGGTCATTTATGAGTCATGATTGACATTTAAAAATGTGAATCATTTCCCTCACTTGCTTTACGCACTGTATTTTTTTCATTGCAATCTAATCCCCCACTTACATTAAATAGGCCTACAAAAGCTTTAAAAGATAAATGAAAACAGATGTAGTGCCTGTTTATACACTGTAGCAATGCTACCATTAGAACATCTTACTATTTATTACAACAATAAAAGTAATTCAGTTTGAACATTAAATCAAATGTAATGTGTGGCATTCATATTGTATTGCTTTACATCTGCACAGACTGTAGCTATAATCAATACATCCTTCATATTTACACAAAAAGAGGGATTGTCTGGATTCTAAAACCAATATGGTCAATGAACTGTGTTAAACATACATGTGGATTTTATGTAAATATTATGTTGAAAATGATAAAGATTATGGACATGAGCAGACAGGGTAGACAGCAGATTTTGATCTAACATAACGATTAGGTCACAGGAAGCAGAATACACTTTCTCATCTGTAGTATTCCCCAATGTCTATCTTGTAATTCTAAACAGTTTTATGAATTGGACAGATGTTGGGCCTGTTTGTGTGTGTGTGTGTGTGTGTGTGTGTGTGTGTGTGTCTGTCTAAATTATAGATTTTTCTTCTTCAGGGAAGCGTTGCTGTCTGGGTGAACAGCTGGCCAGGATGGAGATGTTCCTCTTCTTCACCACTCTGCTGCAGAGGTTTCATCTGCAGTTCCCTCCAGGAACCGTCCCCACTGTCACTCCCAAACTGGGCATGACCTTGCAGCCCCAACCTTACTCCATCTGTGCTGTCCGCAGGCAGCAGAAAAGTCCTTGCACTGGAGACACTCCCTATCACAAGTAGGCACTCAGGAACTTTTAACAGCTGGTTCAACTGTTCAAGCCAGAATTTTATTTTGCACAGCAATGCAACCACACAATGCAGGTGCATACAACTGAATTGCTCTGGATTGTAGCGTCCCGATCCGGTGCGTCACAGTTTTTGCAAATGTTTAAGTGGCAAATGTAGCTATATACAATTAGACACATGATCCAGTTTATTCAAGTACTATTGAATTGATTTACTGAGCAATATGCATGTTTGCACGCTATTTTATCGCAGCAGGGGAGGCGACAAGACTTGGTACCCTAGAAGATAGTCTGGGAAAACTTGTGTGCTATTGATTTAGTTCTCTGTAGCTCAGAGTTGATCCGAGCCCAGAACATTAGATGTCTGAACCTTGGTGCGGTAGCAATGGGTTAGGTATTTGTCAATAATTGATAGTAAGTACACCTATGATGGTTCATAGCCCTGCCTTCTCAGGACAGCGTCAGGTCAGACAACTGACACCACTTATTTGTACATGTGTGGTGAAATGGCACTTTCCAAGAAAATTCTGAACACTGTGTGTTGAAGTTGGACGTGGGCCAGATTTACATCATCGGGACTGACTCTGACCCCTCCTCCAGGGATTGCGCTCTCTGGAAATTGGGTCTCTCAGAAGGCAAATGCAACCTTGGTGGATTTCTGGAAACTGACTATGTGACACTGATTTCAGCTAAATGGTGCTTATCAGTACTAACAAAGTACTGCATTTAGATTTTAGGAGAACATGTGTTTGTACATTTTTTGTAATACTGGTGAGTTTTTTTGTGTATTCATAAAGACTTTCTTAAGATATTTAAAACGTGTCCTGTCATCTTTAAACTGCTGCCAAATTGCTAAAACACAACTCATATGTACATATTACGTACAAACACCACATATTTATGACAGTGCGTTTTATCCACATAAGACCACAGATTCTCTTATTTATTACTTAAATATTTAACTTCAAGAGATACATTGATTTTGTGACCGAGGTCCTAGGACATCACCATTTGAATCACATGACATTAACTGTGGGATCAAAAAGGTTAGAAGCAGCTGTATAACCCATGTTAACCTCTCTTCTTCACACTGCTCTGCTGCATCATGTGCATTTTATTATTTTAGTCTACTTCGGGGGCTGGATTCGGCCAATGTATCCTATTTAAAAATGAACACACGAAAGGTTAACATCCATAATGGAGTGATATTTCAGGCAAATGTTCGTTTTTTGATATTTTTAGCCAAGTTTTCCTCCCCGCCCTCTCTTGAGGGAAATATCTGGCTCCATAGCATGCTAAAAGCTTCAATATGTCCATCTGATAGTTAATAACTGTGTTAGACTATCTTGGTGCTGGGAAGGTCGTTTACAGTTGGTTTTTAGTTTTCCACCGAAAACAGTGTCCTGCTTCTGCCAAAAATAAAACTGATTAGTGTGTTGCAATGGAAACAAAACATTAAAGTTGTGTTCCGTAAAACGTAAAAAATATAAGCTGAGAGACTGGTGCCAAGGGGAGCTATAGAATGCTGTCATAAATGTCTGTAGGTTCATTATTACAAGTTACCTATTTCACCCTTTGTGAATGTAAACATATTTATTACAGTAGCTTGTAAGGCTCTACACACAGGTGTTTTCTGTTACTCTGGCTGATCAGACCTATGCTCAGGTTGAAGCTGGGTGGAGTTAAGCAGGATATAAGGCCCTATTATATAAATGACTAGCGCATAAGATGTCCCACCTTATCAGATGTCAGTCAAGTAGTTTGTACACAACCACTGCCCTGAGAGCAGGTCAGATCAGGTGAAGAACAAGTGAAAACACCTGTGTGGGTGAACAGAATCTGTGTTTGGAGTCTTTAAGGTTATTCCCATCTGTTTAAGTGTGGTGGTATGGACACAAAAAGAAAGCTGTGTTAAATGTAGTCTATTGTAATTTCACACAAACACACACCAATAAAAATCAACGAGAACTTCGGATAATTTAGGGATGGTGTTTTATGACAGCTATAAATAACAACAAAAATCAGTTGCCCCCACAATGTAGATAAGGGTGAATGGTTACATTAGACAAACACACGTATATTGATGCTACATAAGGGTAACAACCATTCATAGATGTATTTATGGCACAATCATCAGAGGACACTGTAGTTTGAAAGACTGCACAGTGAGAAGCCAACAAACCTTTACAACTTAATGAGCTGGAATATAGCGGGTCAGAAGCTACCGAGGCTTTATGATCCAGCATGGGTCCATGTGAATAAGTTGACGACAGAGTTGTCAGAATGTATATGGCTCTGACCTGAGTCCAACTCTGACTCCTGCCACCGTCACTGCCATTTTGAGCCTGGTGGAATACTTGACTCAAGGTGTTTCTCTTGCAATAACAGTACTGGAGCCCAGAGGCAATTTGCCAATCAGCGTATCACAGCCCACAAACTACTGTATGTAGGTAAAGTTTGGCACAAGTTGGGTCGACTGAGACAACAGTGATAGAGAAAGATAATGTGGAATACAAGAGTGGTTATGATACAGAACCGGGAGAGGCTGAAACCAAGTGAAAAATCAAAACACCAAACCCCACAGTTCCACACCTGTAAAAAGAAGTAGATAAAAACTCTGGAAACACAATGGTACTTACAGGATCTCAATGTACAATATGTCAGCTGCGTGTAGAAAACAGATGCATTCATTTGATTATTTAAAAAATATATATTTATATGCACATACTCTTTTGTACAGCGGCTAAACACTTGTTTGGTATTAAAACGTGCATACCTGTATCTATTGTTTAGTATTTAAATAGTACTATCTTGATTTACACTGCTTACTTAATATTTTGTCCAGAGATTATGATTTAATAAGGTGATAAGATAACACTTCTGCCTTCTCTTCCCTAAAACGTCCTCTACTAGTGGAATGCCAAGAGTTCTTAGAGACAAAAATAGAGAACTAGTAGTTTTTTAAGGTGCCTCACAGCACGTCTTGATATATATACTGTATGTATTGTACTGTATATATATAAACAATAAGTGAAATTAACCCTGGATCCCTTCTTTACACACTGGCCGAGTTATGGGTTTGGCAAAAAAAAACAATAATAATTGAGCAAAAGGATTTGGATGAGCTTTCAATTTATCCGAATATCAGTGTTTGCCTTCAGACCAAAACACTGAATAGACATTTTGCTGTTTGTTTAAAAACAGAGTAGATTGTGCAATGAATTTAAGAAAAAGAGATGACCTAATAGACTGTTCTAGATCTGCGAAAAGGTGTTGATGCAGGACAGACGTTTGCAGTCTGCTGACAATCAAGATAAGCCCTTCTCCAGTGAGGTTGTAAAAAGGTTATGCAAACAGTGAATGAATGGCCGAGAGACAGCACATATTGTATGCTCCTCCGTCACAGAGGATTTCATTGCTTGAATTTGTTTGTATTCAAGTTGTTCATTAAGAGATTACAAACTACTTCAGTCACCCAGATTTTAATTTTCTGACTTTTTAAAGTGTATTTTATATTAATGACATAAATTCTTGCAAAATAATTATTCAACTTTTGTGTGAATCCTGAGTAACCTTTAAAAAATACTTAGAATCAAAAGAGAAAAATGAAGAATCCATTCATTGAAACAGCACTCCTGATCTCAAAGCAACATGTTAAAACACCAGAGGACATTTCACTGATTAGAAAGCAACCATTACTGAAAGGACACACAAACATATACACAAAGTACATGGTCAAATAATTAAAAAATGTGCTGTCTTTCTCCCTACACATTCTCTTTATCACATTCCCTTCAAAAATATTCACACACTCTAAGAAAAATGAAGCAAGGACAGTTAAAATATCCAAAACAAAAAGACAGGTGGTACACATGAGTAAAAGCATCAAAAATGATGCAGATATAATGCTATTATTCAGTCAACATTTCAATAATGTCTCTGTGACTGAGTCTGATACAGTGTTTCGTGTCGCCAGCAAGGAGAGAGAACTACACAAGCCTAGGCTCTGGGCCGATATGGACTCAGTAAAGGTTCAGACAGGCACATTTGATATATATATATGTATATATATATATAATTCAAAAATATACCTGACTTTGAGGCTGAAACAGTCTCAGTCTCTTGTCTTTCCGTGTTTGCTTTGGTAAAGGGTATCAATCACTTCATGATGTCGCTTGCTTCATTATGTTTCCTCTACCTTTCATTTTTAAATAGACAGGAATTGTTTAGTACCTAAGGGAGGTGTAAGCGCTTTTCCATTCAAGGCAGCATCACAGCCAGGTCACCGTGGAGTTGAGCAAGATACTGCTCCACGCCGTCCAAACTCTTCTTCTTCACCTTTCCTCCACAGTTCTGGTGCTTTTTTTTTTTTCTGGGTGCACTCGACTCTTCATGGGTTGAAAGTGCATAGGAGTTGGGCTCCCACCGTTGCAGCAAGGATCCGCTCACAGTAGTAAGGCCTTTTTGTTTCTCCAAAAAACAATGTGACTGCTTAAGCATCTGAGTGTCTGCACAGTGAATCTTTCAATATGTGTGTGTGTACGTGTAAGAAAAAGAGAGGGAGGGAGAAAAGTGTGTTTTATGTGCATCTGTCTGTGTCGGTGAAAGGCAGGTGGTTGAGGGACTCATGTCCTTGTTCTGCCTCTCCTCCTCTTCTTTTTCACGTGTCTCTGTTATTTCCTTCGCCCTGCTGCTACTGACGCTCCTCTCCCTCCTCCTCCTCCTGGATGACCTGGATGTCATCTGAAGGGGAGGTGGGCAGGCTGGCGGGCAGGTTTGGGAGGAGGCCGTCGGGCTGCTGCTGCTGTTTGCTGATCTCTTTGCTCTTCTCCTCCTCCTCGATGGTCTTTATCCACACCTTGTGGTTCTCGGTCAGGTGCTGCATGATGCTGCAGAACAACCTGCGGCGTTTCTTCCTCCTCTCTGCAAAGAAAACACAATTAAATGTTATATCAAATCAAGATTCGCTTATCTGTCTTTGCATGATAAACTTGACAGTACTGATGAGCCTTTGGTTATTTACTTGGTAGCAGCTCATCCTCTAGCTCATCCTCCTCTTCTTCATCTTCATCTGTGTCGCTGTCCACCTGCCCTTCCTCATCGTCTACATCTGATCCCTCTCCATTAATCCAGTGGCCAGGAAGAAGGCCGGCGGCTTCATAGGAGTTACAAAGTGGTCCTACAATATGAGTGATGAAGGACTCCTGTAGCTTCGCTAGCTGAGGGGAGGAGCGGTCCATGAAGGGGCTGATGGGTAATCCCAAATCTGCCTCCTCATCACCCTGCAGATAAAAAAACAAGGAGTATGGTTAAAAATGTCTCCGGGATATAACTACTGTATTTGGTGATGAGGCTCGATACAAACTACATCACATCACAAATATTTTCCCAGTTTGTTTTATTGTTATATCATCTTTATGTTTGCATCTCTGGATAATAATTCTACTACTTATTATATTTTAATATTGTTATTCGTCTCTTTTGCATGCTTTTTTGTGTCTTTTCACTTTATTTGGTGTATGACTTTATTTATTGTATTCGTTACCCTTCTGTTTAGATCAATGTGGGACTTTTCAAATGGTGGATTTGATATAAATGTGTGTGTTATGTTGTCTGTCTAATAGTAGTTTTGGTGGGAATGGGATTGTATATCCAACCCTAGGGTATAAAAAATGAAGATAATCGGGTTTTTAAAGATATCTAACTGTTAGCCTTTTATTAGATGGGACAGAAGATAGACAGGAAAGGTGGAGACAGGGAGGAGAACATGCAGTTCAGGGCTGTCACGGGATTCGCACATGGGCTACTACTTAAAGGGGACCTATCATGCAAAATGCACTTTTGTACGTCTTTTATACATGAATATGTGTCCCCGGTGTTCCAGGGAACTCACCAAGTGTCAGAAAACACAACCCTCTCTATTTTCCTCCATACCCAAATCTCTAAAAAAGGGGCTGCAACGGATCTGATAAAAACTGATCCAGATTTGAACACTGTCCTGACGTCAGGACAGTGGCGCTACGGCTATTGGGCCAACTCCACCAATCAGGAGGAGACAGCCACGGCCATTGCCGTTCGAAAGCGCTGGAGACGCTGTAGTACATATGCCAGGCCAGTAGATGGTGCTGTTCTCACAGAATCAGCCCTTGCAAAAACAGAGCTAAAAAATGTCAAATTTAGCAAAATGAGGCATGGCTAAAATGCATGATCTGTTTGGTATTTTGAAAAAAAAAAAAGTATAAATATGCCTTATATAGGTATGGTCCTACACTATATTATTCAAATATAGCATGATAGGTCCACTTTAAGTAAAAAATGCAAAAGATATAGAAACATTGAAATGTTCTGTTGAAATTGAAAACGCTCATTAGCATAAGCATGCAGTCTCTACCTGCTCATAAAACTCATTAACGATGCCTTCTGTCCACTTGAGGTGCAGATCACGGACTTTGGCTGGCCCATTGATATCTGCCAGCTTGATACACACTTGGCACACCAGCAGCCTGTCGTTCTCATTGGTCCAATCGATTCCTGGACTGTTCACATCATTCACCTGTACACAAACAAACAAACAATGGATGCTTCACTGCAACGGGTCAACAGATTTTTCCCACATCCATAATGCTGTGTACCGCTAAACGTAACTGTAACGTACCATCCTTTGTTTCAATCAATATTTTGCCAGAAATTAAAAGAAAGATAAAAAAGATAATGATAAATTGTAATAAGACTTCTTCATCTCAGACCTTGGCATTGAACTCAGCCAGGAAGTCAAAGTGCTTCTTGAGGTCTGTGGCCAGTATAGCTTCGATGACCAGGAAGCGGAAACGTTTGAACTCCACATGATCCAGGTTGACCAGGAAGTTGAACTCGGGCCGGGACAGGTAGAGGCTCCAGCCAGACGCAGCGTGGTGGTTCTCCAGCACTGACCTGTCATTATACAGCACCGCCTGCAACACACAGGAGGGACAGCCAAGTGGTGAGAGCGGGTAGGCTAAAAGGTTCCAACAATTTCCTCTAAAAGGTCACATAATGTCTGCATCTGTGTTACACAATTTGTAATCATGGCTTTAAAATGGTACTCAATAAATGAGATAAACAGGACACAAGGGTATTTGGTTATCAAGTGCAATTATAGCTGAGGGGAGAATCAGGTTAAAAGTAGCTTTAAAAATCACTTTTCAAGGAGTGGCGGTTATCAACATCATTAACAATCAATAGGTTCAGGGTTCCATTTCCTTTCTTTTAACCCACTTTCCTGGGACTTAAAACCCAGACAGTTTGAGTGCTATCACTGGTCATGTTAGGAAAATACAATATTTAAACTGGAGCACGCAGTTACCCTTTTCACCTCCCTTTTTAAATGACTGACCACAGTGAGAGAGCACAATGGGATTAACTGGCCATGTGGTGGGGAGTTAATCTTATATATGATGCCACTTGAGACGCAGTTGGTAGAGATGGATTGACTTTTGTGTTAATCTCCTTGACATCATATAATGACCTTTCTGTATTATTTATAAAAATGTATAGAAAGTTCACATCATTTGTTGTTAGAAGGCAAGTTGCAAACCTGTTGCAAACAATGTCCCTCAACTTAGAGTGATTTACTTGAATTACTACAGACAAAATGGTAAACTGCAGCAAATGCAGGATCCAAAATGATGTATCACTTTATAATAATCCATAAGGGGCATTCTGTATCTCTTTGTAAAGCTTGGACAACTGCAATTATACTGGAAATAGACACGTATGTTATGTACAGGTATTATAACTTATAATTGTTACATTTTGTATCTTCTCTATCAACTTATTTCCTCATGTTGTGTTTATGTTTGCACAACCAAACACCAAAGCAAATTCCTTGTATGTGGAAACTTACTTGGCAATACACTTGAATTCTGATTCTGATTATAGGAAACCTAAAAAGCACAGTACTGTTGGATTTGCAAAGAGAGAGCCAACAAATGTGTCAACAAATTTGAGAAGATTTAAAAATGGAAAAATGTAGTTCAGTTAAGTTTGAAGGTGTGTGAAACATCTACTTTAGTCTAGGATTGCCCCGATGTACACATAGAACAGGACTAATATCGTGGCGTCATTAATGAACTAAGTATGTAACAGGGGTCATAAAAACTCCTGAGCTACTCTGTTGTCCAACACACCAGTTGTAGTGAAATGTCAGTTTGCATAAACCCATATTTTGAGTATCCTATTCTCTGTTTCTGTAAACACAAGAGTGTTTATGTGTCCCAGCTTAAATATCAGATGTTTGTCAGGACAATCTACAAAACTTCCAAGTACCAATAAATGCTGCAGGTTACCTGAGATGCATTAGTGGCTACTAGAAAGGCATTTGTGCGACCGGGATGGTCATAGTCGTGCATTGCAGCTGCTACATAAAGGGCCATGAGCTCCAGGGCAGGTATGTTCCAGGCCAGGCAGCCGTAGCTGTCATCTGAAATGGAGGAGCTTTTAGAGGAGGCGTAGGACACCCTGCCTGGAGAGATCCCACTGTCTGAATCTGAAACATGAAAATAAACAAGATGGATGTCAAAGAGTGTCACAGGCATCCCTGTTCTATTCTCATTTAATCAATGACCTACTTCAGTTTCTGATATCACTGCCCTTTTCTTAACCCTTCTTATCAAATGACCGCCGTTATGTCAGTGGTGATAAGACGAGCAGCAGGTCATTTCTGATGGAGCTTATTTATCATCAGCTGAGAGGGAATTGGAAATGTTTGCGTTTTAAACAAACCCCCATGTGTTCTCTTGAGTAACGGCCACCTCCCATTACAGAAGAAACCAAATCAGTGAGTATTACTGCATTTCTGACATCACAGGGTGTCCAAAATCTGGTAGAAGAGTTTCTTAATAAAGTAGTGGTGTCCACACTTACAAACAGGTGCTATTAGCAAGAAAGGACAAAATATTTCTTTCTCAATATTTGGTGAGAAAATGCTTGGTAAGATTAAGAGGTGAAATTGTCTCAACCTAGGACCTAAGAGCTGTATTTAAAATGACTACCTTTATTGTCTTTTATGAATTTCCTTTTTTTCTCTTGTGGAGAAACGTAATGTTTTTACCTGTGTCACTTCCTGTCACATGCTCGCTGTGAATCTGCTGGAACCCGGGGATTTGTCGAGTGGTCAGGTACCAGACAGCATGGAGCACATCAGTAGCATGGACCCTGTTATGATCTGTAACCATGGTCGATTAAATTAGTCAATTTGATCATGTACAGAACATTTGAAATCATATGTATTTTTATAGACAAGTCAAACTGCAACCTGATTCATTCAATAATCGACATGAACCGCGTGGGATATTGCATCAACAAACAAACAAAAAACCAAGAGTCCTTGCATTTCTTGCACATTACACAATGTAATACTCACAGGGAATGTCTCTGTAGCCACTTTCCAGAGCACAGAAGTATGACATGAACTCCCTCACAGGGATCTTAAATATCTCAAACAGACACGTATCCTGGAACAGGGTGTACGTCACCTGGGGAAACACACCAGCTTTACTGAAACACCAATCGCAACATAACAAACACGCTCACTGAGCCTCAGTGGAACAATAAAAGTACTTTTTGCACATCATTTTGCATAGTGTTGCAGTGTTGCATTAAATATAGAATGAAATGCTTAAAGTCCTGCAAATATGATTAACTACAACTTAATAGAACAGTCTCTTTAGGAGACTCATCAGAGTGGACACATACAACAATTAAAACACACTGATACTCCGTCTACAGCTACAGCAGATGACTGGTGAGTGCTTGTTGTACTAACATAGCTGAGTATCCTTCCGGTCTTCCCCCCCGTCCTGTCCACCAGGTCAAAGATCTGGAAGTTCCAGGTGTTCATCCTCTCCATGAGAGCCTCTTGGTCCTTCAGCATAGGATCTAGTCTGAACTCCTGCTCACCCTGGAGACAATCAGAAAAGTTGTAGATATTAGCATGAATATTGTTTCCATTGGCAAAAGAATGAATCACTATGAAATTACAAATCTAGATAAAGTATGAGCTAAATGGTTGAAAACTACCATGGCTGATATGGTCGTTTATGGAAGGGTAAAATACAAATAACATGATAAATAGAGTAATTGTTTCATGTGCTGCGGGAAACATTCGTATTGTAACTAAAGCCCTCTGATGGAGCACACCTCTGATTCCTGAGTTTGCTGGTCTGTGCTCTTGTCCTTCTCCTCCTGCCCCGTGTTCCCTGCAGCGTCTGGACCCCCGTCCCCCGACACGTCCACCTCCACGCTCTCCTCCCTGATCAGAGACTCTCCTGCGAAATCCAACCCTTCACCTGCTGCACACACAGAGCACAGTGCATGGAGAGACATGAATATATGGACTCACGAACACAACTACATTTTGACCACACTACTTTCATGTCAAAGTGAGTTAAAGTGACTGGATTGCAGTCACAGAAAATAATGTATTAATTATATTGATTTGCCCTTAAAGTATTTTAATAAATACTATAATTACTGGTTAATTAAAGATGATGTATTTTAATCGTTTTTTCAAATTACTCTTGGCTAACAGTGGTTGTTGTTGTAAACTGAATAGAGAAAAATTAAACCCTAATACTTGTCAACAAAAGGTATAAAGACTAGTGTGGTTAACATGGTCAATGGTGATTGTGGAAAACCACTGAGAAAGAATAGGCTTATTTTTAATGAGCAAGTCTATCTTTTTTTTTTATGTTCTCTACTTACACATTTTAAGTTTATTAATAAAACTCAATTTTCAAATTTAAAAGGAAGCAGGACGAGGGTTAATTAATAATATGAAATGTTGCGTCCTCTGTGTGTGCTCCTCTGTCTTTGTTTGTGTTCCTCAACTTGCATTACATTTGGAGTCCAGCAGAGGGCAGCATTAACCCCCTAACGGCTTACAGTAGTGATTCTCTTTCAAAACAATAGCACTGTTGAAGACTGTCAGTCATTATTACGCTCTATAATGTGCATTTCATATTTTTGTACCTGAGCGTCTGCGTTGAGCCTCACTAGTGAATGTTTGATAGGATTCCCCTGCGTCACCGCTGGTAACGCCCTTGAGCATCTGACGACCACAGCTAGAACGGGATAGACAAATATCATATATATAACCAACTGCAGTACAGCTTTGGTTATAACCACTCACACCAAACACACTCTAACATGCAAATTCATCTGTGCAGGTCTCACCTGGTGCACAGAGGGAAGGCGGAGCTACGGAAGGCCTGCTGGAAATCAGGTGAGCTGAGGGTGTAACCCAAGGGCTTGTGCAGGTTTAAACTGACACTGGGCTTTGTCAGGAAGTCAGCCGTGTCCGGGAACTCCACAGGCGATCGAGTGACGAGAGACGATGAGGAACCTGCAAGAGTACCGTGGCTGGGGGAGGTGCCTGGGCTCAGGCTCGGAGAGGCCCCTGGAGGAGAGGAAGGGGGTCCAGGGAAAGAGAGCAGCATGAGATGATATCAAAACGTGAGGAATGAATCTATTGTCTTTGGGAAGTTTTATGGTGGAGTCTCACCTGCTCTCCTGGACCCTGAATGGTAGGTGAGAGTAACAGATGAAGACCTCTGCTTGGGAATGGTGAGCAGGTTTGGATTGGGTCCATTAGACAGACCTGAGCTGGAGCACAAAACACAACACGTGTTTTAAAAAATATACAATTCAAGGCTGCAATATCCTTAGTCAGCCATTTAATACTTTTATAACAAAAATAGGATTATTTTAATATCAAAAAAGCCATCTGCCATCATAGCTAGTGTCTACTGCCATCCAGTGGAGACATGTAGACACAACATCCAGTAGCGCCAACAGCAGGTTTGAAGTGAATTGAACACCGTGAAATGGATTTGTTAACATTCACTAACAGGGCACCATTTCCTCTTAATGCAGTAAGTACCATTATCATAGTCCAAAGACGACATTATCATGTGTTTACAACTTCTTCTGCTTGTGCTTTCTCTGTGCAAGCCACACTAACACAGCCAACATGCAAGACACAATGCCTCACACATTCACACGGTCATTTTTATCAATTGTGACTATATGAATATAACATGTATTTACATTTGATTTGTTTAAGCAGGATAATTGGGTTATCTAACTCTAACTTCAAACAACTAAAAAAGGCATCAAACCACGATTATGAAAATGACTACCTCTTCAATCGACTAATTAGGAAAAGAAAATAACTGCAGACTGGAATGAGTACTTATGATTACAGAGCGACATGTTTACATAAGTCTAGAATAACTTTGCTTTTCATGATATTTATTGTATTAAATCGGATATATATTTCATATTTGTTCCACCCTAGCAATAAAAAGTAACACTAACCATCTGGAACATGAGGCGAGCTGATGAGTGGAAACTTTTCTGTTAGACTCAGTGTTGTGATGATGGGGTTGTATATATTGTAAATGATATGAATTTGTAGTGGGACAAGGAGGTTTGTAAAAGAAAATCAACAAATATGATCTACATTTTTCACCTGGTTCATTAAAACAGAACATAAATCACAGCTGACCTGGTTTCCTGTTAAGTGCACTATGTTCCTTTTTATAAAGAAGATGTTTTTTTGTACTTATTTAGAACTCACTGAGGCCTATTCATAACTTTATTGAGGCTGACCAAAAGACTAGCAATAAAAGACCCTTATACTTCAACGTGCACAGATGCTGCTGAGCCACCTGAAGAAGATCAAAGCATACAGTCACATTATTCAGATCTTGCAAAAATAGCGATTAATCTGCTCCAAAACAGATTCAACGTGGGAGGCGTGTGGTGCAGTGGGTTGTGCGTTGGTGTTCGGATCAGGGGGTCACAGGTTCAAACCCCACTGCAGTCAGCATGTCGTTGTGTCCCTGGGCAAGACACTTCACCCCAAATTGCTCCTGTGGGGATTGCCCACAGTATTGAGTATGTAAGTCGCTTTGGATAAAAGCGTCTAACAAGTGACATGTAATTAAAAATTCAGGGTGAAGTATAGCCCAGATGATGTGTGTGAGCAAATGTAAAGACAGTGTGTTTGTGTTGGTACCTGCTCAAGTTGAGGTCTGGGTGGGGTCTCTTGCCAGTGTTGCGTTCCCAGCGTAAGGAAGAGGAGTCAAGAGGAGGGAGTGCAGAGCAGGAGGAGGAGGTGGAGCTCCTCCTGGGCTGAGGGGTGGGGAGGCTGTTCCTGCTGCTCAAACCCTGATGAGGAAAAAGGAAGTCTCCAGTATAGATCAACGTTTGATACACTAACTAAAGATGCTGGTCGTGTTATATAAACAGAAGCTTTGAGCATGTGTGAACTAACTGTTTTCATAATTACAATTGTACAGCGTCAAAAAGCAAAGAAGCAAGCAGAAAGCACCTGCAAGGTAAAGAACAGGGTCCAATTGTCAAAATATCTGTCTCAGCTTTTGCCCCAACTCAATGCAAAGTCATCTAGCAGTAGCAGCGCAACACATCATCCGGCCAATCAATTATATCAATGGCGTAATTCTGTTATCTACCATCAAGATAAAAGATAAAGACTGTGGCTCCGATAACAGCTGACAAATCCTTTCTCACGGTGTTAGAGACTGCTGTGCAGCATTATGTTGTCAGTAGTGTCCTAAGTTTAGATACTCTTTTATTACCGGGACTTTTTCAAACTGAAACTGCCTATTACTCATCTCTTCATGTATTTACTACACTGGTGCAGTGGCAATGCTGGTACTCACCTTTATGGTCTTTCTGTCACTCCTCTCTACAGAATCCTCCACCTCATCACAGGGGTAGAACCCGGGGAAGGGGGTGAAGGGGTTGACCCTGGGGCGGCACGAGCCTGAAAATGTCCCCATGAGGCTGGAGATGCTGCGCAGGGCTGAGATGGTGTGTGGGGACTGAGAGGAGTCCATCAGCAGGTCGGACACCAGGTTCCTGGCCTCATTGATGACTGAAAGATCCACGCCGTTGCCGCTCACCGCACCCTGACATATTCACACATACATCGAGCAGATTAGGGGACAGGGCAGTAAATGCACCAAGTCGGTTTTAAAAAGTTTTCTTTAGAGAAAGTTTTGTTAAAGTGCTTTTAGATTTTCATTCGACATTTCTATATACATTTTTTTGTTTCTTGTATGTGTGTTTTAGTGTTAGTCTGTGTGCTTTGGTTATTTGTTGTTGTTTCTATTTGATTTCCCCTAATCTATAATGATTTGCCTTTTTATATTTATGAAACACATATGAAGATAAAAGGGACAGTGTTTGACAATATGTGTTTGTTTATTGCAGAAAAAAGAACAAAAAGCCAATAAACATGAAATACAAAAAACAACTTTTTCTTCAAATGTCAAAAGATAATGCAAAATAGATCCAAAATCATGGCTTTAAGGTTGAAAACAGTGTTGTCTAGTAGCCCTTGTGTTGGTCTGAACTGTAACAGCATGAACATCAACTGATTTACGACACTAACTTAATAGAATGATAGGGCTAGCTGTGTTGTGGTTAGAACAACAACCGTAAATAAAGAAGAACATACACTATATGTAGGGCCCATATGAGAAGTGTTGTGCAATGCTTGTTTCTAAAGTACTTGAAGGTATAAGTGCATAAAGAGGTGTTATCAGGGCAGGTTTGATGTGGGAAAATGTCCTGGCTTACTGGGCCCTGTCTAACAGGAACAAATAATGATTTTTGGTCTGTGGGAGCTAAATTCTTTGACAGATTACGCAAATAGTTCAAACAAGACAAAGAATGTCTGAAAAAGATAAAAATGTGGCATGACAACAATCCCAAGGTCACTGCATGCCAGGTTTTACACAATGTGTATTTTGCCTGACCAAAATCAGTCAGTAAAAGAACTGAATTTCCTGAAGGTGAATTATAGAAAGCTTCCACTCTACATGGACCACCCCTCTCTGGACAGACCTGTATTATGTGTATGTTGATTGGATCCACCGTGCACAGTAAACTCCTGAAAAAAACACAGAACTGACCTGATACTGTGGTTTGTACCAGTGTTTCAGATCCCAGTCCCACAAGATCATCTGAAAAAAACCACAAAGGACATAAACTGTTAGTGAAATGTCATCATTGCATATATGTTTGTGCATGCATAACAGAGAATATGAAATGTATTCACATACAAGGAGCACAGACTTTGACCTATGCTCCACTTTCAGCACACTGCCTTATGACTTTTTGTATCTCTTTTATGTGAGAGCAATGGCAGGTGAGCAACAGAGCTTCTTCTAATTCTGCATGCTTTCCAAACACACACACTATAGAAACAGTTTACACTAAAGATTTCCTGCAACACATGATGCACTTTCTACTACAGGTATGCTCACGCACAAGGCCTTAGTGACATCAATCTGAGCCCTTAACTGAAAGCAAAAGAAGAAAAGCAAACCACTACAACCACCATGGTGCGTCTGCAATGGGGCTTTGAGATCTTATCTGGTCCAACTACGTCAATCGGCAGCATTTCCACGCTATCTGTTGGTAACCAAACAGCTCTCACACGTTACTGCGGTGTAGTCAAAGTTGCTGCAGGTTGTGTAACACTTAGTTGCTAGACCTGAAATAATATAATCCTCTGTTTTAGAAGAATAAACACAAAGATGATTAGTTAAGATAATAAGGAAACATTCACTAGTTTTGTTACACTACCAGATTATTATTTTGCACATGCAGATTTTCCTAACATGCCTTCAACTTTCTCAGCCGTGCACTTTTCGTGAGCGCACAGAAATGGTATGAGAAGGCATAACAATTCCACTATTTGCGATGAAACCAGGTACAATATTTTCATTCATGTGGCAACAAAGGGACCGAGATTTTCGTTCTACTATAGCAATTTGCAATGTTTTCAAAAGCCAGCATGCATTCTCACCATGCACCACAAGAGGGAGAGACACAGGGAATACGCCTCCTTTTGAAAAGCACCTCCATAAACACAGACAACCTCTACATGTAAACATCATGCACACATGTCCTTCTTTTAAACATGTCAGCCAGTCAGGAATAATCAAGGCACATCAAATGTGAAAAGGTTTCAGATTCATAATCGGTCATTTCTAGCACAGTCAAGGAATTCAATAAGATAAATGCTAGTAAACAAATTCAGTTTGTTTTAGAAAAAGCTTTAAAAAATATGTTTGCTGTTAAATTGTAAAATGGGCACTCTTATATAAATGTTCTAAGTTTTTGTGATTACAAAAACTAAAACTATTTTTACAGGCTTTAAAGCCAGGTTTTTAATATAACAAGGCACGCTCTAAATAGTTTTGTTTAATCGTGACTTGTTTTACTTTTCTGCATGTGATACATACAAAGCATTAAAGCTATAGGTAAGGTCGGTAAATAGATCAGACGCCCGGTCCCATCTCCTCTAATCAGTAACCGTTTCATTGATCAAAGTGGGATGTTGGGTGTTTGTCATCAGCATCTGTACAATGCTGCCAAACATTTAATATGGCAAATAAGCCCTGCCATGGCAACTCGACATAGAGGCCAGCAAACAATGCTCCATACACCATGGCAACGGGATGGCGGGAGACGGCCGGAGGACAGAGTTGTTGGCCTTCTGCTTGTTTACGGAGAGACGCAGGAGGGCTGAAACGGAGAGGGAGATGGGTAAAAGCTGAAGGAGAGGATGCCATAATGGAGGGGATGGAAAGTTAAGGACAGAGAACTATAGACAGAGATTTAAAAAAAATAGACACAAAGTACACTAAGCCTTAATTCAGCTCCACCCAAGGTGTTTTGTTCCTTTTTTTACCGACCCTCTTGATCGTACAGTGAGAAATCTTTAGTGTGTCACCTAACATAGTATGTGTACACTCTGTCTACACCTCACCACTACAGTGTGCCCTTGCATTATCTGTGCACAATGCACGAAACATGAATGTCTTCTCCGCCTCCAACGCAGCAGAGAAACAGGAAAAGCTGGCTGAATGAGAGAGAACAACACCATCACAGAGTGTGCCAAGCCACAACTTATTTACAGCGAGGGCCTTCTGCAAGGGAGGGGATTAAATCTTTCAATGAACACGAGATATTTTCTTTAGTGATGTTTTGAAAACATGACATGAGGGCAGACACAGAGACTAAGACACACAACTCAGCTGCTGACATTTGAGACACCTGTACACATGCACGTAGACGCACACATGCACACAGCAAAACACATATATTCTTTCTCATCACTAAAACATTTAGGTGAAATTATGAAACAACACTTCTTATCTTATCAAGTACATTAAGAAACAAGCGATGTTTCCATGTTATGATATTAAACTCTGCTACTCAACAACATTTAAAAAGGAATAATTTGTTTTTTGCACTTGTACATGAATGTGACCAAATGCATTACACCCCAGCGGCATACAACGTAGAAAAAACGTCAATAACAATGCATTCAAATGTAGTGTTATTGACGCCATTTATTATTATTATGAATTTATGTAAAGTTAGCTTTTGCCGTCATGACTTTACTAGTCTTAATGGAGTATACTGACATTGCTTTTGCTGAGTTAGCCTACTTCTTCCATCATTAGCTTTAGGGATAAAGACGCTGAGAAGGGAAGAAATAATGTAAATTAACGTGAATCATGCCTAGATTTCAAGTCAGTTCTTTACTTGGTGTTATTGCTATCTTTTAAACACAGGCACAGACAAGGTTATACTGGCATATTCAGTGTATCTGCTATGCTGTGTAACACTGTGTGCACAGCTACATGTGAATGGAGATTATTTATGGTGCAGGTATTTCAAAAAGGGAAATAACTGCACTATATTTATGCACACCTGCTTGAATATACAGAAGAAAAGCAAACAGGGAGAGACCAACAAAGCAAAAAAACACACATAATCTAGCATTCACTCAAAAGTCCAGGGAAATGTAGTACACGGAAATAAAGAAAAACATTCAACACACACATACACACACAGTTATTTAACGTTTAACACAAGTCGTAAATATTAACAGGAGTCAATAAACCTGTGCAGGCTATTAGACGGCCAGTTGTTACACCTGCGTGTCATATTGGCTAGGCTCTGCGGTGCGAGAGGTGCTAGAACTGATAAAAACACGCTAATAAGAGTGTGGGGGACAGAGAAAAGGTATCAATGGCAGACAGGCAGGCATTTGTATGGAGAGGAGTAAGGCTCTGCTGACGTCAGTGTGTAGCCGCACACACAGCGTCAGCAGCCCTCTGCACATGCACACGCCGATAATGAGGACCGGGCTCTGGCTGTCAAGACACGCACCGGAAGGAAAGATGATACGGAGAGAGGAAAAGAAAGCAAAGGCTGGCTTGATTCTTTTAAGCCTGTTCAGGAGAGAGACCTAACCATATGAGACATCTGCAGATAGTGTGTGTGTGTGTGTGTGTGTGTGTGTGTGTGTGTGTGTGTGTGTGTGTGTGTGTGTGTGTGTGTGTGTGTGTGTGTGTGTGTGTGTGTGTGTGTGTGTGTGTGTGTGTGTGTGTGTGTGTGTGTGTGTGTGTGTGTGTGTGTGTGTGTGTCCTATTGGAGGGACATAGGTTGAACAGGGCCTGTAGTAGTGCTGAAGCTCTGGCAGGTTAGCTGACGGTGGGCCAGCAGCTGAGGCGACTGGAGGAAGGAGCTGGGATTTTAAACAGTCTCTGGACTTTTGACCCCGACTTACTCACTACCAAGATGTTTCCCACACGTCAACACACACAAAACTAAACCATCCAAGAAAACGATTACAAAAATATGAGAAAATGCTTATTTTTTCTACAAAATGCATTGTGTTTTAAATCTAGTTATGTAAAGCGCTATAAGAACCGGGATTAAAACATACATTTTTCAAATGCTCCACAAATATGTATGATAAACTATTCAAAACATGTCACAATGTATTGCTGGCTATTAATAATCACTGTAGAGGTCATATTAATTCAATGAAAATAGTCATGAAGAAAGAAAACAGTGAACTCTGTTCCTCATCGCTCCAATAAAATGGTAGGCCAGGATTAAAATGGTCAAATGTATCGTTCTATAACGTTCTTTTTTCGGACTTTCAAAAAAGAAAACAAGTCGTGAGCTACTTTTACGCCTCTTTTTTTGTTTTTTGCAGTGTATATATTTAACACATTTTAACATTATGATATGCTTACCTTTAACCTTTGTGTGCTGTTTGGGTCTGTGGGACCCGTTTTCAGTAATATATAATAATTTAATTATTTTAACCTGCTTTATTTGGGGGTGGACCTCACATCCTCTAGGGGGGTCCAGCCGGGGCATGCAAGATTTTTTTTTTAAATGTTGAAGTGAAATGCATCAATCTGGTGCACTTTGAGCACAAAATGAATTTATGGATACAGCTCTCAACACTCAGATGAAAGGGAGCTGTATACTTTTCAATAATCCAAACATCTTTAGAATATGATCACAACCAATAACAAATCATTTAAACTTGTTTATTCTTATCTTATGTTACCTAGTTAGCATTCTTTATTTTTATTTATGTATATTTGACTAATCACTCCCCTTTTAAACTGTTTTTTTTTTACTGTCCTATAGTACACATTGGAATGATTTCTTACTTTATGTTTTACGACTAGGCTATATTAAATAGATAAAGGTGTGCTCTCTCTAGCTCTCTCGCTCTCTCTCTCTCTCTCGCTCGCTCACAGAGGCTGTGTGCTCCTCCGTGGCGATGACGGCTTGCGTTAAAAAATAATAATAAACATAGGCCTATTTGTAAAGAGCCCCACACTTTGAGAAACGCTGCTCTAACCCCATACATGAGGAAGTTACTGATAAAAAAACTTCATTTATATGGAAGTGGTTTAGATATCTTTGGATAGATAAGGAGGCTTTGACAAAGATACTGAAGCACAATAAAAGTAACTATACTATTGAATGAAAGTGTGAGTCTTTTACCCAACGTGTGTGTGAAAACACACAAGCAGTGTTCAAAATGCTAATCTTTGACATTCAGCAGCATAACTGGATCTCAACCTAAACAAAAAGCAGTTGTTGTGGACATTACCCTGTTATATAGCGGTCTGAG